AGTGCCCTCAGTTTATCAAGATACCACTAAAACATCTTCAGTTCTACCAGCTCCTGCGGCGAGGCCACTTGTCCCGCCTGGTTTCTCAAATGCAGTTGTGGAGAAAAAGGTTCAGTCCCAGTCGTCCAACATTGCACTTGAACCAAAGGTGCACAGCTTGACATTGTTTCAGTAATATAGTTAGATGCCATCAAATGCATGCAATTATCATCTAAGTACCAGCTCTGTACCATGTAGTTGCTAACAAGATCTGGTAATTAAAATTAGTTTACTGAACCATCACATCTTCTCTGTGATCAAAATTGGTCTAAAAATCTTTTTACTATTGCTGGCAGTTTTTACTCGTGTCTAATGGGCAATTGCTAATGGGTTCATCTGTTTTATATCTTTTACTGACATGAGTGTGTAACACCAGGTGAAAAGCAGTTGCTTTATAGTTTATGATACTCATGCACTATGAGATATTGTTCTGATTTCCGCAGTTACTAGATTATAATGTGTTCATCAGTATAAAGGGAATAGCACTCTTGGGATTCTAGTTGCCATCTCTGTAGCAAAACATGTTAACAATATACTATCTGCCAATGCCATACTGTTTCTCAGTTGCGTTTTGCTCTTTTTTAGGCTCACATTCCTGCTAGAGAGGATAAATTACCGACTATTGTGCAATTTAGTAGCCAAGTAGAGGGAAACCAGTCAGCAACAGATATCGCCTCAAGCAACAAAAGAAAGGGCATTTCTGACAACATTGGTGTACATCAAAAGCACACACTTCCATCTGGAGGCGTTTCCTCTTCAACTGAATTTGTTCCTAAAATTCTGAAAGGAACTGAGGAGTGGGAAGCTGATGCAATGGATGATAAGTACTCCATTGAGAAACAGGGCATGCCAAAAAATGGTGGTTCAGCTGGGAAGGACAATTCAATCTCAATCTTGGAAGAGTTCTTTGGCAACGCATTGTCAAAAGGCAGTGGCAATTTACCGACATATGTTGAGGTAATATACCAACTAATCCTTGTTTTGTTGTGCTCACTCTTACATTCCGACATGTGCGGTTGTCTCATGTGGCTCTCTGTCATCTCTGTATATAAGCATTAAATACTCACATATTACAAAATTAAGACCATTTTGTACGGTTATGACCTGTGATATGGACCAACCTTATCCTCCGAATATAATGTGATGTTGGCTGAATTTGCGCCTCTGTAATTTTATATCTGATATTATGACGGTTTTATGCTGTTCATGTCGTCATAAGATGCCAATGGGTCTTACTCAAATATGATATCTTTTTCTGTGCAAATTCAACGATTTTTGTTTCTGGGGATGAATGGCTGCTGAGACATTTTCTATCAAATTATGTAAGCCATCTACATGTAGTCTTGAACGTTGATAGCTGATGGTGACATAAACTTCTTGGACCTTTTACTTCTTTAGATGGCATCATACCCATAACTTAACCTGTTATGCGCTCGTGCTTAAAAGTAGCATTTGGTGGTCTCAGTGCAGAAGTGAAAATATTCCTGGTTATTGCCACGTTGCTGCAAGGTTCCCCAGTAAGAAGGAAGTTACAGATTTATTGGGCATTCAGATATCTATTAACTGCCGTGTGTTTATTCTGTCTGCGCCGTCTTTTTTCAGAGTCAACAGCTGAATACGGGTGCTGATATGATGGCCTCTTCTGTACCAGAATCATCCAAATTTGCTCGCTGGTTTCGTGATGAAGGTAATCCTGTTTCATAGTTGTGCCATATGCTATGTGTCAGTCAATAGAAGTAGAATAGCCATGCCATGAAAATTTCCTAACAGAAATAAATTTTGTATACATATCCCTCTCTCCGGTATGCAAAGTAAATTTAGGTTAAAAGACATGCTTACACTTATCCTTTTATTTTACAAGGTTTGTTTGATGATTTTTGTATTTGTATATACTGTAGATTCAAAACCTTCAGAGGACTTGCCATCAAAGAGCCTGCTCTCCATGATTGTGAACAATGACAAACCAGGCCCACAAAACATAGCCCCTGGTCCAACATTGTCTGATGGTGCTATTCATCAGAATTTATCATCAAAATTAACTACCGATAAATTCGATGCTTCATCAAGGCTACTACCATTTCCATCTCCTGCACCTGCTGGTGGTATCCAGGAACAGTACAGGCATGCTGCTATCCCAGAGCCAGCTCCAGTTATGATGACATGTGAGGATCTTGAGCAGGCGATGCTGGCACAGGTTGCTAGCAACAGCGGTTCTACTCAGAAGAGTGCTGTACAGAGGCATCAGGCTGTTTTGGATGAGCCAGCCGCCAAGCAGAAAGTAGCTGTAGACAATCATGCATCACACCATCTTCTTTCATTATTACAGAAGGGAACAGATAGCAAGGGGTCATCTCCGTTTGGTTTCCACATAGGATCAGCTGATGAACCACAGAGTTCTGATGTAAATGCCATGGCCAATGGTGGTATATATGGAACTGTTCCGAGTAACAAAACTGAAACTGTTCCGATTAACAAAACTGAGACTATTCCTGCTTCAGGGAAGAGCGTGACCTTGGAAGCATTATTCGGGGCTGCATTTATGAATGAGCTCCATTCCAAGGATGCACCAGTTTCTATTCGGGGATCTGCATCCAGTCATGAAGGGTACTACCCTGGTGAAGAGGCTCTGACCTTTAACAGCAATGAAGGCGGAGATCCTTTTAAAGAACCAAGAACCGGGATAGAGTACAGGAATACATCATTCAGTGGTCCAAGTCAGGGTACTAGCTTTGACAAGAATGGGTTGGAAATTAATCTGCCTGAGGAAGACAGTTTGTTTACAATGAATGACTCTTTCGGTGTTCGAAAGCCTGATATGTTGCCATCACTGAGATCCGGTAGGGTGGAGGTGCAATTACCTGAGAAGGCAGTTGATGATCTTAACTATAAGCTTCAAGGCCTTGTGCCTGGTGATGTAGAACCTGCTCAAGTACTTGGTCCTGATGCTCTGGGGCCTCGTTCCCATGAACAGCGTTATCAGGTCGAGTCCCAGAATCTTTACCATCTTCTACAGGGTGGCAGGCAACCTGCACTGGCTCCTCGGCCGATGCTGGATCACGTTGGTAACAGGAGTCAGCAAGCCCCATTTGACATGCCACAAGCGATACGGCATGATCCCCGCCGTTCTTTCCCACCTAACATGAATCCTATGCAACACACACTAAATGCTCCAGGGGTCCCTCATGTGGATCCTGCTGCCCATCATCTTATGCTGCAGCGCATGAGTGGAAGCTTTCCAGCAGAAGGCTTGCCAAGAGGTGTTCTGCCATCTCAGCCTGTGCATCAGGCGGCTGGTTATAGACCTGAGATGAACAATGTAAATAATTTCCATATGCACCCTCGCCAGCCCAGCTATGGAGACTTTGGGTTGATGCCGCCAGGTACGAGTCTGTACAAGTTCATTTTGTACTTTGTGTTTACTTGCAGTTTATTCCGTCACTGTTTCGTTTGTTTCAAAGTTTTGATGGCAGAGAGGCTCTTTGGCCTGCTGTTGGTGACTAGACAAGAACGATTTGTTTACTTCCAAAATCTGACATCTCTTATTGCATTCCACAAAATCCACTCATTCAAGTTGTGCCTGAAATTTTACCGATCTGAATTGATTGATTGGAGTTGAATTCTGCGTCTTTTTGTTAGTGGTTATGATCTTTCATTGGACCTTCATTTACTGTTAAAACGTGAAAAGAAAATCATTTATACTCACAATTAAAGGTAGTTTACTATCCCCTTGTTTTTCCCTGATTTCAGGGAAATAGTTTCTTGTTTTTCCAGTTTGAATTATCGGATACAGAGTACGTGACATCAAAACCGTTCAATTTTATCCTGAATTTATTATGATCCAACTCTGTCTGTTTTCTCTTTATTTAGGTCCATCGGGTCCAGAGGTGCGAGGCAACCACCCAGACGCCTTCGAGAGGCTGATGCAGATGGAGCTCACAGCCAGATCAAAGCAGATACACCCAGCCATGGCCGGCCCTGTACCAGGCGGCGGAATGTACGGGCCCGAGCTCGACATGAACCTGAGATACAGATGAAGAACTGTCTCTGCTGTGCCTGTCGTCGCCATGCCCTATCACCCAAACAAACCACCATGTTCCGTGTCCATGAACGAACTTGCGTTAGCGTTTGCGGTTGCTACAAGATAAGATAGCTCGTCGGGGAGGAAGTTTCGCCGGTGCCGGTGTGTGCCATGTATGTAGTACTTTGTGCCTGAAATGGTTGGATGGGTTGCTGATGATGATCTGGTGAGGAGGGAGGGAGGGAGGGAGGGGGGATACATTGGGTGCTGTCATTGTAGCAGCCACATCTGTACCTGTGTCTGTCTGTGTCTGTGTCTGACTATTTGTTTTTCGTTTTTGTATAAATACTAAAAAAAGGACCAGATTAACAATAACATATTTGCATTTGGTCCCCCTGATGCTTCAATTTTTTTTGTTTGAGGAAAAACTAACCATTCACATCAACTGGGATAAAAGGATGTGACACAAAATTAAGTTGAACAAATAAAAAGACACCTCATGCTGAACTTGATAATGTTATTCAGTACTCCCCCCGTCCCAAAATAAGTGTCTCAATTTCGTACTAACTTTGGTACAAAATTTAGTACAAAGTTGAACTAAGGTTGAGACAGACGCTTACTTTGGGACAGAGGGAGTAGCCGGTCGGGGTAACATGCTTGCTGAAATCTGTGACACGAAGTTCAAAGTTTATCATCACAAAACCAAAATTTGTACATTTAGATCAATCTTAAAGGACAATTTTTATGTTTCTTATAACAAAGAAAAAAAAGCAGTGCCATTTTTCACTTTGTTCTTGTGAGGGTAAAATGGGCATTTTTTTTGCTAGTCTGAACTCTGAAGTGGTCGCACTGTGTAGGAGTGTGGTGTGGTTCCCATCAGCCATGGTCGCAGCCGCCACCTCGTGAGATCCTCCCGAAACCCTAGCCGCCGCCGCCCCGCCCAATGGCGTTCCCGCCGCGGCTCCTGCTGCCGCCCCGGCCCCCCTCGCCCTCGCCCGCACCGGCGCGGGCCTCCGCGCGGCCCAGCGGCGGCGGGGGGCGGACGGCGCCGGAGCTGTCGGGCCCGACGCCGCGGGTGGTGGTGGTGACCTCCGGCAAGGGCGGCGTGGGGAAGACCACCACCACGGCCAACCTGGCGGCCTCCCTGGCGCGGCTCGGGCTCCCCGTGGTGGCCGTGGACGCCGACGCCGGCCTCCGGAACCTCGACCTGCTGCTGGGGCTGGAGAACCGGGTGAACCTGACCGCCGCCGACGTGCTCGCCGGGGACTGCCGCCTCGACCAGGCCCTCGTCCGCCACCGCTCCCTCCGGGGCCTCCACCTGCTCTGCCTCTCCAAGCCCCGCTCCAAGCTGCCCCTCGCCTTCGGCTCCAAGACCCTCACCTGGGTCGCCGACGCCCTCCGCCGCGGCGCCGACCCGCCCGCCTTCATCCTCATCGACTGCCCCGCAGGTTCGCTCCGCATTTGCTTCACACCCGATGAATCCAAATTTCAATTAGCTCATTGCAATACGATCTTATCAGTATGATTCTACCATGAATCCATTGTCCGTGATATTCTCTAGTGTAGCTCAGTCGATTAATCGTGTGATTATACCGTTATACCTACACTCTAGCACCGTTATACCTACACTCTACCATGAATCCATTGCTAGTATGGTTAATTGTCAGTGTTTTTTGCCCCTTGATTTGCTTGAGGAATGCAGCTGCTGCTGTTTGTTCACCCTTCCCTAGATCATAAGGATTTCAGAGCCAGCGCTTGTACTGAATCTCTGATTGTTTCATGATGCTTTTGCGCACTTGTGGTATGCCGGTATGGGGATGGTATCTGGATTTGTCAGATTTGAGCCATTTATTGGGTTATTCTTACCGGGTTAATTCTTAGAACAGTGTATCTAAGTTGCATTTTCTTACTGCTGTTCTCAAGCAGCATTATTCAAGTTTCACTGCTTGAACTTGTCATATAACGCCATTTTAACAAACTGCTTGGTGGCTAGTAGTATCATGTATCTGTAATGTACTCCTCCGTTCCTAAATATTTGTCTTTTTAGAGATTGACTACCGCATACGGATGTATATAGATATATTTTAGAGTGTAGATTCACTCATTTTGCTTCGTATGTAGTCACTTGTTGGAATCTCTAGAAAGACAAATATTTAGGAATGGAGGGAGTAGCAGTGAATGTTTGCATGATTCTGTAGTATAATTTGCATCATCAGTAACAGTTCACAAGATATTTGATGATTGCCAGCCTCTGCAGTATGCATTCAACCCTGTCTGTTCCATGCAGTTGCCTGAAACGCGCACCTTCGTGCTGCCTAATTTGTTTTTTTTCCCCTGTAGGTGTTGATGCCGGGTTTGTCACAGCCATAGCCCCTGCAGAAGAGGCGGTGCTTGTCACCACTCCCGACATCACGGCACTCCGTGATGCAGACCGTGTCGCGGGGCTGCTGGAGTGCGACGGCATCAAGGACATCAAGATCATCGTGAACAGAGTGCGGCCGGACCTGGTGAGGGGGGAGGACATGATGTCAGCTCTCGACGTGCAAGAAATGCTCGGGTTGCCTCTGCTAGGCGTTGTGCCGGAAGATTCAGAGGTAATCCGCAGCACAAACAGGGGCGTGCCGTTGGTGCTGACGGACCCGCCCACGCCCGCGGGCCTCGCCCTGGAGCAGGCGACGTGGCGTCTGGTGGAGCGGGACGCGATGACGGCCGTCATGGTCGAGGAGCAGGAGCGGCCCAAGAAGAAGGGCGGCTTCTTCTCCTTCTTCGGCGGGTGATGGAGCCTGAGCGGAGTCGAGCCGCCGGTGACGCGCGTGTTGTGTATAGAGCTGCGATTTGGAGCTGCTTAGTCGTTTTTTCGGTTTGCTTTTGCTCTTGTTTTTTTTTTCCTAGCGTAGCACGATTCATTTGGCGTGCTTGATTCCACGGAGAGACGAACAGTCTTTCCTTTTTCTTTCAAATTTGCGGTGAACATTAGCAGAGTAAATGTATGTAGTTTTGTGGTTGATTGCTTCTTGCTGTTACAGCAGTGAGCTCATCTTGTTCGAGTGTTGTTGTTCATGGCTTAATTTTGATTGCTGAACTGAGATGGAAAAGAAATGGGAGAGAAGAGGAACAGAGAAAATTGATCAGGGGCATTGCTCCTTTTTATCCTTCCCAGGAACGCACCCATTGCAAGCCATTAGAACAATATTTCTTTGTTCCTTTTTTCTTGGCATTGGGGCCTCCAGTACCCCTGTTGATGTCATTTACCACCTCCAAACAATCTGATGCCACGCAAATGTTCCTGACTGCCAGATCATCGGCGAGTGCTAGTGCCTTGTGTGGCGAAAAACCACCGCCGAAGATCCCAGGTAGACTCCCCCTCCTGGTCGCGGCACAGAACAGCGACTGCACCTCCGCGGCATTGCCTAGCCACTGCTCCATCTGCATTGATCTTGACGCAACCGTTCGGTGGACGCAGCCATCGCTGTGGCCGGTTTTGGGCAGGAGCAGCTGGGCTAGGATAATCATTCCGGACTGTGATAAGAGCTAGATCACTGGTATAGTTGTTTACAGAACTGGTAGTTTGTTGCGGACTTTGGAAGATTGATTCATATATAGCCTTCCGTCTAGAATACCAAATCGACCAAAGAGTGATGACCATCCTTGTGAAGCTGGAATGATCCATCGACTCATGCAGCTCGAACAACCAAATCCTCGAATTGGCTTCTGTGTTTTCCCCCATAATTGAAACTATGGTATCTTCTGATAAAGCCCAAATGCATCGCCACATAGTGCAACCTATGAGAGCGTATCTCCATGAATCCTCGCATCCACACAACGAGCAGGCGTCCTGCGCGACCATGTTCCTCCTCTTCAAAACATCTGTCGTTGGACGTGAATCGTGTGCCAGTCTCCATATCTTCGAAGGGACCTTAACTTTCCACAACGAGCTCCAGGATTTTTCGTCTCTATCAGAGCTAGACGAACGGCCCCTTCCTTGCAACCATTCCTCACTCTTGTAGGATCGGAAGTATGTCTAGAGGGGGGTTATTAGACTACTTGACCAATTAAAAACTTAACCTTTTTCCCAATTTTAGTCTTTGGCAGATTTTAGCTATCTTAGCACAAGTCAAGCAATCTTCACACAATTCAAGCAAGCATGCAAATAGTATATGAGCAGCGGAAAGTAAAGCATGCAACTTGCAAGAATGTAAAGGGAAGGGTTTGGAGAATTCAAACGCAATTGGAGACACATATGTTTTTGTCGTGGTTCCGATAGGTGGTGCTATCATACATCCACGTTGATGGAGACTTCAACCCACGAAGGGTAACGGCCGCGCGAGTCCATGGAGGGCTCCACCCAAGAAGGGTCCACGAAGAAGCAACCTTGTCTATCCCACCATGGCCGTCGCCCACGAAGGACTTGCCTCACTAGCGGTAGATCTTCACGAAGTAGGCGATCTCCTTGCCCTTACAAACTCCTTGGTTCAACTCCACAATCTTGTCGGAGACTCCCAAGTGACACCTAGCCAATCTAGGAGACACCACTCTCCAAGAATTAACAAATGGTGTGTTGATGATGAACTCCTTGCTCTTGTGCTTCAAATGATAGTCTCCCCAACACTCAACTCTCTTTCACAGGATTTGGATTTGGTGGAAAGAAGATTTGAGTGGAAAGCAACTTGGGGAAGGCTAGAGATCAAGATTCATATGGTAGGAATGGAATATCTTAGCCTCAACACATGAGTAGGTGGTTCTCTCTCAGAAATGATAAGTTGGAAGTGTAGGTTTGTTCTGATGGCTCTCTCCATGAATGAAGAGGAGGTGGAGGGGTATATATAGCCTCCACACAAAATCTATCCATTACACACAATTTACCAATATCGGTGGGACCGAATCAACAAACTCGGTCAGGCCGATTTAGTAAACCTAGTGACCGTTAGGGTTTTCGGTGGGACCGACATGCAACTCGGTAGGACCGATATGATTAGGGTTAGGGCATAACTAATCTCGGTGAGACCGATTACACAAACTCGGTAGGACCAATTTTGGTAATAAGCTAACCAGAGAGTTGGTCAGGTAAACTCAGTGGGACCGGTTTGCTCATTTCGGTGAGACCGAAATGTTACGAAAGGGAAACAGAGAGTTTACATTGCAATCTCGGTGGGACCGATTGCTCATCTCAGTGGTACCGAAACGTTACTAAGGGAAACAGAGAGATTACAATCCCATCTCGGTGAGACCGAGATCCCTACCGGTGAGACCGATTTGCCTAGGATTTGTGGCCGTGGCTATGCCATCTGAACTCGGTGGCTCCGGGTAGAAAGAATCGGTGGGGCCGAGTTTGACTTTTGGTTTGGGTCATATGTGGATATGAGAAAGTACTTGAGGGTTTTTGGAGCATATCACTAAGCACTGTGGAGCAAGAAACTCATTAAGCAACACCTCATCCCTCCTTGATAGTATTGGCTTTTCCTATAGACTCAATGTGATCCTGGATCACTAAAATATAAAATGTAGAGTCTTGAGCTTTTGAGCTTGAGCCAATCCTTTTATCCTTAGTATTTTGAGGGATCCACGTTCCTTATTCATGCCATGCCATTCATTGAGCTTTTCCTGAAATGTTCATCTTGGAATGATGTTAGCTCAATGAGCTATATGTTGTTAGGAATTACCAAAACCACCTAGGGATAGTTGCACTTTCAATCTCCCCCTTTTTGGTAATTGATGACAACATATAGATCAAAGCTTCGACAAATGATAATGAGATTGAAAAACATTGTCGTTTTGAGAAGTATATGATAAGCAAGAGCTCCCCCTAAATTTGTGCATAGTTTTAAGATTTGCTTTGGACTGCAAATGCACAAAGAGTTAGGCTCATGGGTTACTCTTCCATGTCACATACATCTTGGTGGAGCGCTCAAAATAATAAAGATTGAATACATGCACTCATCACCAAGCAAAGTGAATGATCACATAGAGATAAATGGGACAATGTCATCCAACAAGCATAAATGTAGTGTATGATCAAACACATGATCATCATTGTATCACACAGGCAATAAAGTAGTATCTCAAGCAAGCAAAAGCAAATAAAGTTTAACCACCAAAGCAAGAGAGAACAAAAAGAAACACTCTCTCTCGAAGCCTATGATCTATACATTTTTCTCCCCCTTTGGCAACAAGTTACCAAAAAGTTCATAGAAAATGCATAGTGCTAGATCAACTCTCAGGCTTGATCTTGATGTGGTGGTGTAGAGATGACTCCTTGGACGAAGACTTCAGCTGATGTGGATGGAGCTGGAGGTGTAGGTGCTGAAGCTGGTTGCACTGGAGCTGTAGGACCTGTAGCTGGTGTAGATGAAGTGGCTCTGGTGTCTGTCACTGGCACTGCAGCTGATCTCTGAGCTCCAGGCACTCTGGCAAATGCATCTGTGGTTGTCTTGCTCTTCCTCTCCTCTATCATCCTGAAGCTGCTCAACGACAGACTGGATCTCAGTTACCTTCACATCCAAGTCATAGAACTTCTGCTCCATGATCCTCTCCAGGCTCTCCTGGTTTTGAGTCAAGGTGGCCAGCCCTTTCTCAATCCTCAGAGTGGATGCAATCAAGTAGCCTAGTTGATCTTGTTTGCTCTTCAAAAAGTACTAAGATGCCTCTTCCATTGTTGGCATCTTGGTAGCCTTCTCTGTACTTGCCTTCTCCTTCTTTGCTTGAGCATGCACAGAAGATGGTTCATCTTCATCCATAACCACTTCGTTGTCCTCAAAATCTGGATAGATAGCAAAGTGTTCCTTATCCAACAAGTATGTGCCTATTGGGGAACGTAGTAATTTCAAAAAATTTCCTACGTACACGCAAGATCATGGTGATGGCATAGAAACGAGAGGGGAGAGTGTTGTCCATGTACCCTCGTAGACCGTAAGCGGAAGTGTTATGACAACGCGGTTGATGTAGTCGTACCTCTTCACGATCCGACCGATCCAAGTACCGAACGTACGGCACCTCCGAGTTCAGCACACGTTCAGCTCGATGACGATCCCCGGGTTCCGATCCAGCAAAGCTTCGGGGATGAGTTCCGTCAGCACGACGGCGTGGTGATGATGATGATGCTCTACCGGCGCAGGGCTTCGCCTAAACTCCACGACGATATGACCGAAGTGGAATATGGTGAAGGGGGGCACCGCACACGGCTAAGGAACGATCCGTAGATCAACTTGTGTGTCTATGGGGTGCCCCCCTGTCCCCGTATATAAAGGAGCAAGGGGAGGAGGCGGCCGGCCAGGGAGAGGCGCGCCAAGGGGAGTCCTACTCCCACCGGGAGTAGGACTCCCTCCTTCCTTGTTGGAGTAGGAGAAGGGGGAAAGAGGGGGAGAGGAGGAAGGAAAGAGGGGCTGCACCCCTTGTCCAATTCGGACCAGAGGGGGGCTGCGTGCCTCCTTCCTTTCGGCCTCTCTCCTCAATTCCCGTATGGCCCAATAAGGCCCATATACTCCCCGGCGAATTCCCGTAACTCTCCGGTACTTCGAAAAATACCCGAATCACTCGGAACCTTTCCGAACTCTGAATATAGTCGTCCAATATATCAATCTTTACGTCTTGACCATTTCGAGACTCCTCGTCATGTCCCCGATCTCATCCGGGACTCCGAACTCCTTCGGTACATCAAAACTCATAAACTCATAATATAACTGTCATCGAAACCTTAAGCGTGCGGACCCTACGGATTCGAGAACTATGTAGACATGACCTAGAACTATTCTTGGTCAATAACCAATAGCGGAACCTGGAT